AATGGCCCAAACCAATGCTAACCCCTTCTGGCAAGAGAAACCAAAGTAAATACTGCAATTTTCATAGAGATCACGGGCATGATACCGAAGAATGCCTACAGTTAAAGGAAGAAATTGAGCGCCTGCTGAGACGGGGGCTATTGGCAAAGTATGTGAAAAACGATAAGGGCAGGCAAAAGGTTGAAGGTCTACCCCCACCAAGGGCAGGAGTGATAAACTTGATCATCGGAGGAGTAGCATCGAGCGGCAACTCAAATTCAGCTAGGAAGAGCTATGCGCGTTCAGTAGGGGTCTGCTCTATTCAGAAAAAAGCAAGATTCAACCAGAGTATAACTTTAGAATGAAGAGGACTTGATTGCTGTAACACACCCCCATGATGATGCCTTAATAATAGTAGGCGATATTGCGGATTTTGACGTGAAGAGGGTGTTAGTCGACGGAGGGAGTGCGGCAAATGTCCTCACCTATGATGCCTTCTTGGGTCTAAAAATCCTCTAAGAAAGGTTGAAGGTGGTGACTACCCCCTACAAGGCTTTGGAGGGACAACAGTGATACCGGAATGGACTGTAGAGCTTTTAGTCACGCTTGGGACATACCCAGCGACAGTGGTGATCGTGACTAATTTCTTGGTCGTCAAGACCCCTATGGCTTACAACGCTATCTACGGCCGGCCATTGCTAAATGCAGCTGGCGCGGTCCCATCGACCTACCATCAAATTATGAAGTTCCCAACCAGCAGGGGGATTGGGAGCGTGCGGGGAGACCAGCATGCATCAAGAAAGTGCTATGTGGATAGTATACAAGCCAAAAGCCCACCATCAGTCATGATGCTGGATGTAGAACTCCCGAGGGAGCGGATCGAGCCACTTGATATGATTGAAAAAATCTTTATTGCTAAAGGAAAGGAGTTTCTTGTTGGAATAGGTCTGGGATCCGAAGAGAAGGAAAAATTGGCGAAGTGTCTAGCCGGTAATTTGGATGTCTTCGCTTGGAACCCAAAGGATATCTCGAGGATTAGCCCAACTGTCGCGCAGCACCGCCTCGGTGTCCAGCTAGGGGTTAAGCCAGTGAAGTAGAAAAAGAGAAACCTTGCCCCTGAGAGGCAGGCTGCGGCCAGAGCAGAGGTGGAAAAATTGCTACAGGCGAGTTTTATCCGAGAGGTGCAATACCCCGAGTGGTTGGCAAATATTTTACTTGTAAAGAAGTCAAACGGAAAATGGCGCATGTGTGTAGATTATACTGGGTTGAACAAGGTATGCCCAAAAGACTCATACCCGCTTCCCAGAATAGATCAACTGGTAGACGCAACGTCGGGTCATGAAAGGCTCAGCTTTCTAGATGCATTTTCGGGGTATCATCAAATTTCAATGGCCGAGTCCGATCAAGAGAAGACGTCATTTATCATGGACTTCGGCACGTACTGTTACACAGCCATGCCATTTGGTTTGAAAAATGCAGGAGCAACGTATCAGAGGATGGTGAACAAAGTCTTTCGTGGGCTAATCGGAGGCTAACGGGGCGGGTAGCGGCCTTAAATCGTTTCATGAGCCGGGCGGCAGACAAATGCTACCACTTCTTCAAAGCTATAGGGGGCTCCTCCAATTTTGAGTGGACCCAGGAATGTGAAGAGTCTCTTAGGAACTTGAAGCAGTCATTACAAGAGCCCCCGATTTTGACCAGCCCATCTCCTGGGGACGTGTTGTGTCTCTACTTGGAAGTATCACCAAAGGCAGTCAGCGCGGTCCTGGTGAAAGAGTTCTCAAAGGCGCAAAAACCAGTCTACTATGTGAGCCAAGTATTGAGGGGCGCAGAGATAAGATACAGCCTGACTGAACAGCTGGTGTTTGCATTAATTGTCGCGGTTAGGAAATTGAGGCCTTACTTTCAGTCTCACACGGTGCAAGTAATGACTGACCAACCTATCAAGCAGATTCTACATCGGTCGGAGACCTCTGGGAGGTTGTTGAAATGGGCCATCGAGTTAAGTGAGTTTGATATCGAATTCAGGCCAAGGACAGCTATTAAGGCACAGGCTCTAGCAGACTTCATCGTCGAGCTCACCACCCCGCCCGAGCACCCACCAGGGGAACAGGCAGATTGGAAAATTTTTGTCGATGGATCTTCAAACGACGAAGGATCCGGGGCGGGGATCATAATGATAGGTCCCAATGAGGAAGAGTTGGAATACTCGCTGCATTTTGAATTCCCTGCTACAAATAACGAGGCCGAGTACGAAGCAGTAATCACGGGTTTGGGATTGGCAGCCAGACTCGGGGTAACCTCAGTGGAAATTTGCAGCGACTCTCAGTTGATAATCGGGCAAGTGATGGAGGAATTTGAAGCAAAGGACGGAAAGATGGCTGCATATTTAATGGAAGTCAAAAACTTGCAGAAGGGGTTCACCAAGTTTAAGATAACTAAGGTCCCCCGAAAGGACAATGAGCGAACGAACGCGCTGGCTAAGCTCACATCAGCCAACCCTAGACGGCTGCCTGGCACAGCCAGTGTGCAAATTCTGCGACAACCTAGCATCCAACACGTAATCGATCTTATGAATGTAGAGAATGAGGAAAGTTGGATAGACCAGCTGTTTGAATATCTCACAAAGAATAAATTGCCGGAGGATGCTCTCACAGCAAGAAGGCTAAAAGTTCGGGCAGCCTTATTTGCCATCATCGATGGGTTACTCTATAAGCGAGGTTTCACAATGCCATATTTGAAGTGTTTGCGACCGACAGAAGCACAGGAGGTGCTAGTCGAAGTACATGCGAGAATTTGTGGCAACCACCAAGGGGCGACTACCCTTGCGTTCAAGACGCTTCGACAAGGATATTATTGGCCTAGTATGAAGGAAGATGCTAGAGAGTTGGTGAGAAAATGCGATGCATGCCAACGCCATGGAAATCTGATCCACATTCCAGCCGAGCAACAGACGGCAGTTTTCGGGGTGTGTCCCTTCTTCCAATGGGGGATGGACATCTTGGGACCTTTGCCCCTGTCTAAAGGACAAAGAAAGTTCTTGTTAGTTGCCGTAGACTATTTTACTAAGTGGGTGGAAGTTGAGCCCTTGGCCACCATCACGACTACAAAGATACAGGGATTCGTCTGGAAAAATATCATATGCAGGTTTGGTATACCTCGGGTAATCATTACAGATAATGGAAAACAATTCGATAATCATAGTTTTACAGCCTTCTGCACAAGTTACCACATCGACCACAGGCTGACTTCAGTTGTTCACCCACAGGCAAATGGACAGGCTGAAGTGACCAACCGAACCATACTATGGGATTTGAAGACAAGGTTGGAAAAAGAAAAAGGACTTTTGGCTGAGGAGTTGCCCAATGTACTATGGGCATATCACACTACCCCCGAGAATCAACCGGGAGATGCCATTCAAACTGGCCTTTGGGATGGAAGCCGTGGTTCCGATTGAGATCTTAAGCGAGACAGGAAGGATGAAAGTCAAGCAACCCGACGACGCAGCGACTAGGGGAGAACTCGACCTCCTTGAAGGTGTAAGGGACAAGGCGGCGATAAGAATGATGGCTTATAAACGAAGAGCCGCTGAGTACTTCAACCGGAGAGTGAAGCCAAGGGTCTCCCAACCAGAAGATCTCGTGCTAAGAGATGCAGCAGCCGCAGGACACCCCCCACCAAAGTTTGGTCCAAACTGGAAAGGCCCGTACGAAGTAATCCGCAGGCTGGGGAAGGGAGCTTACAGCTTGAAAGATATGAAAGGAAGGCCGCTAGGTAGACCATGGAATGCAGAACACCTCAAAAAGTATTACCAGTAGAATTCGAAATGTACGCGCCGGCTGCGCTTTTGTAAATATAGTAGATTAGGTTGCATTGTTTATTTTCTCTATGTAATGCCTCACGAAGGCACCCTTAGTTGTAACAATTTATTTTATTCAATGAAAGACCTTGGCGGTGACGGATGATGAGGGCGCTACGGAAGGGCCAGCCTAACTGGGACGTCCCGGTGCGCCTACTGAGCTCACAAGACCAGGAATTTTTTATGCCAACAGACAACTTTGAAATCCACGCTCATCCCACTAAGACACGATGTCGGCGTAGCCTACGCGGCTAGGTGGAGAGCCTTGGAAAGTCAAAAAATTGACTAAGGCCCTTAACCACCAAATCACCCCTTGCGGTCGACGTAGCCTACGCGGCTAGGTGAAGAGCCTTGGAAAGTCAAAAAATTGGCTAAGGCCCTTAACCACCAAATCACCCCCTGCGATCGGCGTAGCCTACGCGGCTAGGTGGAGAGCCTTGGAAAGTCAAAAAATCGGCTAAGGCCCTTAACCACCAAATCACCCCTTGCGTTCGATGTAGCCTACGCGGCTAGGTGGAGAGCCTTGAAAATTCAAAAAATTGGCTAAGGCCCTTAACCACCAAATCATCCCCTACGGTCGACGTAGCCTACGCGGCTAGGTGGAGAGCCTTGAAAAGTCAAAAAATTGGCTAAGGCCCTTAACCACCAAATCACTCCCTGCGGTCGACGTAGCCTACGAGGCTAGGTGGAGAGCCTTGAAAAGTCAAAAAATTGGCTAAGGCCCTTAACCACCAAATCACCCCCTGTGGTCGACGTAGCCTGCGCGGCTAGGTGGAAAGCCTTTTAAAAGTCAAAAAATTGGCTAAGGCCCTTAATCACAAAATCACCCCCTGCGGTCGACGTAACCTGCGCGGCTAGGCGGAAAGCCTTGAAAAGTCAAAAAATTGGCTAAGGCTCTTAATCGCCAAATCACCCCCTGCGGTCGATATAGCCTACGCGACTAGGCAGAGAGTCATAAAAAATAAAAAAATAAAAAAAATATATATATATATATATATATGAACACTCCCCCGCACCATCAAGCAGTAAAAAGAAAAATAACAGGAGAGACGACAATTTAAAGGAACCACGCATCCAGCGCCAATGATATCGAATGAAAGACGTGTTTATACATTCGAAGAATTCTTGCCCACATCCGAGCAAGTAGGAGATAACAAGGCTAAACAAAAGTAAACACTCAAAAGGAAAAACTAGCAAAGAAAACAACAACTCAGAAATGCTTCAGCTTGAAGGGGAGACATCCCCACTACCACCTTATGATGAACGACCGAGTGATCTGGATGACTGAGCTATACTCTCTTTCCCTTTGCGCTATGCAAGAAATCTATCCAGACCGGAGGGGTCTATAGAAGGATGTTCGGCCATAATCTACTCCTTGGAGAGCTTAATTGAGGCTGACATCGCCTTTCCCCCGTATGAGTTCAAAGCCTTAGCATAATCGGACGATGTCTTACACTGATCCACAGACGCCTTGAGATCTCCAGCGTACTCATCTGAGGCCTTATACCTCTCAACCGCCTCTTCAGGAGCACGAGCCAAAACAAAACGTAGGTTGTCGATCTCCGTCTCCTGCTCACGAGCTCGAGCGTCCGACGTCTCCAGAGATTTCCTCAAGGAGGATATTTTCTTCTTGTGGTGATGAGCCTCCTTTTTCTTTTCTTCAGTAAGAGTTTTCAGCTCTGAGACCAGGCGGCGATTTGACTCAGCGAGTCCGGTCTGGAGGGCCACCACCTAAAAAAAAATGTATAGGGGGAAAAAGAATGAAACCACGAGTTTCTAACTTAAAAGGCGAGATTCAACATAAAAGAAATCTCGAAATGGGAAACATACCCTCTGGAGGTAAACAGCCGCAGCCCTTTCAATGTCATCTACGCTGCGCCCTACAATCGCTCTGGATCGAGCGGGGGTCACCAACGACTTAAGCACCCCCATCTCATGATAGTCCCGGGTAAGAGAAAACCCAAAGTTAGGAAGCGAGTCCTCACGCTCACAACGTGCACGACTGGGAGCTCCCGGCCTAGTAGCTGGAGCCACATCACGAGGCTCATCTGAAGGCTGAGAAGTCTCGTTGATCGTTTGAGACTTTCTCCCAAGATCGGCCCCTCTCCTTCTCTTTGAAGGGATAGGCGAAGGATCCACCTCACCCTCCTGCCCCTGGTCAGGCATGGAATCCATGACTCCTTCCAGATCAAGCTCGGCCCCTGCACATGTAAGTTGAAATCGGATAAGATCACAAGGTAGAATACAAAAAAAAGGGAGAGAGGGTGGGGGTGAACATGAAAGCTTACCATCAACGAGGGTAAGGCCCTCATCTCCTCCTGGCAGAGTCTTCAATACCTCATCAAGATCAAAGTCCATACCTGAAACACACATCCAAACTCATTAGTCTCTACGAACTAAAGGCAAAAATAATAAATGAACGTGTGTGCATGCGATAAAAGAAAAGAAAAACAACATAAACGACCTACCAATTGGGCGACTCATCCCCACTTTCAACATGTTCTTCATGGTTAGGACTGACCCTAAGTTAGGTGCAGAAGGCGGTACATCAACCAAGTCCTCGATTTGAGCTTCTAGAAAGGGAGTAACTTCTACTTGGCTATTGAAGAGATGAATTTGGGGGTGTCGCCAGTTTGTGTTAAAAGAGAACTGACCCTTTGAAAGCCGGACGAAGAAAAATCGGGACTTCCATCCGCTATTCGAATTCCTAAACTTAGGGAATTGCAAAGGTACCCTAGTGGTAAAATAGACAAATGCATTACATTGAACTAGCACATGCATTTCGAAGATACACCTGAAAAGATCCATGGAAGGTGAAATTCCCTTTTTGAGACAGACATACAGAAAATATAATTCTTTTCTCCATGCATTAGGATTAATTTGACTAGGAGTAAGGTGGAACTCGTTGAAAATCGACACAAAAAAGGGATGAATGGAAAATCGAAAACCCCCGTCCATAACATCCTTGTACACGGCTATCTCACGGGGGTCGGACCCGGGGAGCCTTTCTTTAGGACCGGGGGCTCTATAGACGTAGTCATCAACTCGGTCATACTTACCTAGACATTTTTCCAACTTAAGTGGCGAATTGTAGAGACTATAACTTTTTGGGATATCTAGGGGGACAACCTCACCGGCCGGGTCACGCCCGATTTCTAAATTTTGGTTTGGAGATTTAGAAGAACCGATGTGTCTCTTTGGGAGATTTGGAACAAATGGCTGAGAATCAATTGAATGAGTTTCACTATCAATATCATAAAGGGATCTGCCGGATGAAGGGGACGAGTCACTACAAGGGCGGATCGAAGGACCGGACAAGCCACGAGTCTTAGTGGGTGGCGGGGGACGGCCAGCCTTCGGGCTGGTCAGTCGACCAGCCCCGCTGGTTGGCGACCGACCCCCCGTGGGTCGGTCGGACACCCTCCGGTACCCTCCGACGAAGGTCCGATCGAATCACTACACCCCCATCACTTTTTTCATTGGAAGGAGAAGAAAGAATAGTTTTATACATGACAACAAAGAAGATGAAGAGAAGAAATTTAAAACAAGACCTTGGATTTAAAAAAGGAGAGAAAATTACCTTAGAAGAGAGGAAGCCTAGGATGTTGAGAGAAAATGAAAGTGATTCTCTAGAATAAGAATTACCCCCCTTTAATACCACTAGAATTCAAACTTTTGGGGGGGGGGGGGGGGCTGGGGGGCAAAAAAAAACCATTACCTAAATGGTTATAGGAATTGGAGGGAAATCTCCCTCCAACATTAAGACCATTGGCGAGGAGCCATGTGTACAGTAGAATTGCCACTCGATCGTGTTTATATGGTTCGATTTGCTAATACGAACTATTCCTTTCTCATAAAAAAAAACTTTCAAACCAACCTAAAATTGCTACCCCTTGCCAAAAACATCGACAAGGGGTAGGGGGCTAATGATATAGGTTGGTAGAAGTAGCCACTTTCAATGACAAGCAAGGCAGATCATAGCACTCCGATGCAAGGCCATCGACCCCCATAGGGCGTTCTACCAATACGCCGGGAGGAGCGTTCTACCACTACGCCCAGGGGGCACTCTACCACAACCCCCAGAAGGTGTTTTACCACTACGCCCAGGAGGCGCTCTACTACAAACCCCAAAGGGCGCTCTACCACTATCCCTAGAAATCATTCTACCTCTAAGCGAAATCCTTAACGGGCATGATATTGCTTGTCCAAACACTTAGCCATAAAACCTTTAATGAATTGACCAGGTTCCATGGCCGCTGATACAGGTACAATCTTCAGGCGGGAAGTTAAGGACTCCTCACTCAGAACGTGAGTGTAGTGGGAATACCAAAGCGGTTACCCAGTGCCTAATATCTATAAATATTCCCGGATGTGACACAGGTAAAGGATTTTTTTTCTCTCATTCTCGTTTTAGCCATCTGAATTTCAAATATATTTCTTCCAAGTCTAAAAACTAATTCTCACGCCGGAGGTAAAACTGGGGAGAAAGCCCCGCCTTCATTTTTCAGGTCTTGCATACTTGACGGAGTGGTGGAAACGCCGAACACTACCGGGCAAACAGAAGGGTGTTGTTCCACCGCCCTTTCATCTAGTAAGAAACCTTGTGCACGCATGAATAGTAAGCCTTCTTGGTTCTTTTGCCAAAAAAATATAAATATAAATATAAAATTCATTCAATGCAGATGACAAGTTCTATCTTCATACAAATTTTTGTCTAATAAAATTAGTTATGATTTTTTATATTTATTTATTTATTTGATTACCAGTATATATTTTATTAAAGTTAACAAAATTATATATATCAAATCATGTTTTCCATGTTATGAATAAACAAAAAGCAATGAGTACATTTCAACATAATATCAAAAGTAGAGTTTATCTAAATAACTAAGAACGTACATCACTCGCAAACTCAAAGAATTGATACCAATATGTGAAAAGCATAGACTACAATTCAAAATAACTTATAAATTTTTTAAAATAATCGATCCCTATATCAATAAGTTTACTTCTTTGATCTCCAACAAGTTCTAGAGCAACTCTTATCCAAGATTAGCAGACACTAGCGGTCGGATTCCAATTGAGTTTTCGACCATGTGAAACAGTAGAAGCAAATGCCAAAAGGGCTTGTCTATCCAATTTCAAGTCACCGACAACAAGAAGCAAAAGATTTACAATGACAAAAATTAAAGGAAGTAATTTAATGAAGAAGCAGAATTTCACGAGGAAATCCACAGAAGCATGAAGCAAAAATCTATAGAGGCATAGATAAAACAGTATAAGCATTATTAGGTATCAGTTTCAAAAATAAAAAATGATTCTTCGCCATTCTTCTGTGCACGTTCATTTTTCTTACTTTCTTCTCTCAAAAGGAACTTGATGCTCAATTTCAAAATCAATATGTATGAAGGTGGAAATAAAATAAAATAGAAGTGAAGCGTACCTTTGCTGTGAATCTTGTGAGTACAACTAACTCACTTTAATGTACCTAATTGGCCATGCAATTCTACTTCCTAATGCTCGCATGTGGGTTGACAGGTGACATTATCAATCACTTCAATAATCCAAACTCCTCCAACATTCATTTTTGTATATAAGTCTAGCCTTGCCTCGACTACCATCCATGTGTTTAGTATGATGAATCTATAAGAATTGTAGAGGATAACAAATAAACTAATCGGATATTTACTACTTATAAGTAGATGAAATTACACAAAACAGTATTAAATAACAGAAAAAAGAAGTTGAATATTTTTTTTTATCATCATAACACACCTCAGCTGACATTTGTAGCGAGAAATGTTGGGGGCTAGCAAATCTATACAAAATTATGTGTGGTCCTATAACTTTTGAATAGTCAACAATGCAACAAATCAAGAATCATAATAGTCCAATTGCTTTTGATTAAGATATTTTTGGCATAATATATAGTTGAAAGATTTTGATGTAAGGAATTAATGGACAAAAATTGTTTATTAGTCCATGAATTTGCCATTATTTACTATATTTTGTTTATCCCAGTTCTTGTTTGTATGAGCTTGTAAGTCATGCAACTTTTTCTATAATTTTTTTTTTATTTTTTTATTTTTTTATTTGAGAGATGCTGGCATATGTCCGTACATTACTTATTCTCTTTCTTTCTTTGAGCATATAAAATAAGAAGTGAATCTTCGGCATTCTTCTTTGCACCTCCATTTTTCTTACTTTCTTCTCTCAAAGGAACTTGATGTTCAATTTCAAAATCAATATGTATGAAGGCGGAAACAAAATAAAATAGAAGTGAAGAGTACCTTTGTTGTGATTACAAGTAATTCACTTTAATGTACCTAATTGCCCATGCAATTCTACTTCCTAATGTTCATGTGTGGATCGACAGGTGACATTATCAATCACTTCAATAACCCAAACTCTCCTCCAACATTCATTTTTGAACATAAGTCTAGCCTTGCCACCGTCCATGTGTCTAGTATGATGAATCTATAAGAACTGTAGACAATAACAAAAATATTAATCGGATATTTACTACTTATAAGTAGGTGAAATTACACAAAACAATATTAAATAACAGAAAAAAGAAGTTGATTATATTTTTTATCATCATAATACACCTCAGTTGACATTTGTAGCGAGAATAGTTGGGGGCTAGCAAATCTATACAAAATTATATGTGGTCCTATAACTTTAGATTAGTCAACAATGCAACAAATCAAGAATCATAATAGTCCAACTGCTTTTGATTAAGATATTTTTGGCATAATATATAGTTGAAGGATTTTGATGTAAGGAATTAATGGACA